ACCAGTGGGGAGAAGGGTGAAATCCTACTGACACTTCTCAGCTGCTGCTTTCAGCAAGGGACAAAATTTCCACGCAGGGTTTCTTCCAGCCGCTGAGTTGTGTGACTCCTGCCCATTCCTCACCCCCCCCGAGCAGAAGAGGCGAGGAACAGCTCAATACTCCAGGGACAGAAGTAGGAGAAAGTGGAAGGTCCCTCTTTTTTCTGCCCGTAGACACCAAACTTCAAACCATGAGAAGAAAATGCTCACGAATTCCTGTGCAATGACTTTCATGGTCCAAAAGCCAATGAAAGATGCCACAGGGACCACCTACCCTCCCCCACCACCTCCCTGTCCAAGCCCTCTGCTGCACCCCGGTCTGCTGGCAACTTCCATACAATGATGCTCCTGCGCTGTCCCCAGTGCCCCAGTAGCCAGCCCTGGTGGGATGAAACAGGCAGAGGCCAGTGCCCTCCTCCAGGGTCCTCTGTCAACATGGTCTTCAGAGCATGCCTCCAAGCAACTGTAGGGGCTTGGGGATGCCCTGCCCATGGTGCCAGACTGGGCCCCAGAGGCTGGTAGCTGGTCCCGGCTAGCAACTGGCCCACCTCTCCCTGGAGAACACTGGGGATGTCATGCCAGCTGCCTAGCCCTAGCCACAGTCTTGCAGCCAGAAAGATCTCTTCCACAGAAACTGTTTTCATGAGAAAGTGCCAAGGAACACAAGCAAACATTTGAATCAGTTTCCCAGGAATGACTTCTCCATTTCCGCACTCCAGCCAAACCCACAAGCACTCAGGGAGCAAGCAGTGGCCCGTTTCCCCCAAGCAGCCGACAGCCTGGGTGAGGGCTTGCATCCCCTGCCTTGTTTCAGGAGCGGTTTGCGTGCTGTCCCCCTACCCACAGGTAAACGAACCACCCTACGGTTTTTTGGTGTCATCTGGGGACTCTTGGATCTGTTTCTCTTAACACTGGTAAAAATTTTGCCATGCAGAGAGAAATTCACTCGGGGGCACAGCCAGGGAGGGGAAAAGCTGAAGAAAGTTAATGCAAGGAGGCTAAGGCATGGCCCAGTCCACCCCATCAGCCAGAAACGCACCCAGCCAGAGGGTAATTCAGAGTAATGCTGCCAGACGTCATAACTGAAAATACTTTATTTGACATCAATAGTAAAGTAGGAACATTGGATTATACATCTGTTGATATATAAATGATAAAAATGCAAAAGCAAAACCATCTACAGGAAACCCATAAGCAGTCCAGTACACAAGTAACATCCCAGGGAAAAGCTGCGTGACAGGACCCTCCCTCATCCTAACAAGCAAACCATAATCCCAAAGAAACCAAGCATTAGCGTCTCCTTTGCAGCTATTTGTTCTGGGTTTCAACCATTACACACAGTATCACTTTGAATGTTGCTACCAGTATGGGAGAGGAAAAAACACCACCCACCACAGGTCATGGCCAGAATTCACTTCTGTGCAACAAGAGCGTTTGTAGAAAAGGCCCCCAAAAATCGCAGGGAGAGAAATTTCATGGCCAGGTTGAGTCAAGAGTGTTTCATGAGTTTGACCGATACAGTTTACACAGGGACAATGAGATCTGGAAATCACGGGTCAGCACCGAAGGGCGAAAACAAGCAACAAAAGGCAGCTTCGGCTTTTACATGGCTTGTGGCTTTAGCAGTAGAAGAGAAACTAAGCAACAGTTTCTTGCACCGCTAGTGTCTCTCTGCTGAAAATGGTTTTCAGGTTTCCTGGTTTTCCAGTTTCCATTTCTTTCCTCTTTTCAAGGCACATGTGTAGAAACCTTTGATTGCAACAGCCAGAAACAAGTGCTCAGGCCACCTCCGTGATATTCAGTGATTTCAGCATATAGCGAAACGAGTTGTTACACTAACTTTTTTTCTAATCTTCAGAGAATCCTAAGGCAAGCAAAAAAACCCCCGAGAACCAACTACTCAATTACAACAGGTAGCCCCTTTGCATAGCCTGTTAGCAGACAGACACCACTACAGCTGAAGGTCTCAACTCTTCAACATACAAAAGGCTCAGCACAAAATTGAAGTGCTCTCTGCAGAGACCTGGGATTTTCAGTGGAGCCTCAATGAGTTTTGGTGCTGACCTGTGGGAGCAGGGCCCTGCTCCTACGGCACCTTTGAAAAAATAAAATATAAAGTCCTCTCCTGTATCTCCATTACTGGTGGAGACTACAGCTACACCAATGTTTTACAGGTAGGCATTTGACCTGACTTCTGTAACACATCTTCTTGTGTCCCTTTGTATCTGCAAGAGCTGGAGACTGACCTGCCAAAAAGGAGTCATTTTTTTAATGCAACGATAAGCACAAGGGAGCAGCTCTTAAACACAACCCTGCTCCCTTGCACTTTGCTCCTGCTCCACGCAGGCCCACCTTCGCTCAGCTCCCAGCACAACTGAAGCAGCAAGTCTGGCCAGCAACAGCTTTTAGGTGGAGGGGGTGAACGCTTTTTCAAAGTGAGACTGAAAAGGCAGCTGGGTGTCTCACTTGTAACTGAAGTCGCCATGTGTACTTTGAGCCACTGCTGGCCTAAGAAGAAACGCACTGTCCCCCGGCCCCTGCAGGATCCCACCCCTGCAGTGCAAGGGCTCAGCAAAACCTTCAGGTCCCAACAAAAAAACAACAAAAAACCCAAAAAAAGGGGGCGG